TGGTATTTTAAATACCAGCAGGGTCACCCATGGTGGACAGGTTTCAGATGAGCTTCCAGATGAAAACAGAATAGGAAGAAGGAGTGATGAATTACTTCCAAATATTTAGTCACTGAAAACCTTATGAATAGCAGAGAAACACTGTCAGATATAGTGCTGGAAAATGAGCACCTTAGGTTGTAAGGCACTCAAAATGCCACTGAGGAAGAGCTGCCTCCTCAGTGTAGAGTTGACCTTGATGACGCAAATGGAGTAAAGCCCGTGGGAGAAAGGCCCACGGGACCTTCATTTGCTGATGGGGCACAACTCAAAATGAAGAGAAACAGCTGTAAACATCCACTGAGAATTGAAACATGGAATGTACGAAGAATGAATCTGGGAAAACTGGAAGTTGTCAAAAATGAAATGGAACACATAAACATCGATATCATAGGCATTAGTGAGTTGAAATTGACTGGTATTGGCCATTTTGAATCTGACAACCACATGGTTTACTAGGACGGGAATGACACATTGAAGAGGAATGGTGTTGCATTCATTGTCAAAAAGAACATATCCAGAACAGTCATGAGGTACAACACTGTCTGTGATAGGATAATGTCCATGTGCCTACAGGGAAGCCCAGTTAATACTACTTTTATTCTAATTTACGTACCAACCGCTACAGCCAGTGAGGATGAAATAGAAGAATTCTACCAACTTCTTCAATCTGAAATTGATCAAACATGCAATCAAGATGTATTGATCATTACTGGTTATTGGAATGCAAAGTTTGGGAGCAAAGAGAAAGGATCAGTAGTTGGAAAATATGGTCTTGGTGATATAAATGATGCTGGAAAACATAGAATTCTGCAAAACCAATGATTTGTTCATTTCAAATACCTTCTTTAGGTAGCATAAGAGATGACTATACACATGGACCTCACCAAATGGAATTCATAGAAATCAAATTGACTACATCGATGGAAAGAGATGATGGAAAAGCTTCATATTATCAGCTAAAACAAGGCCAGGGGCACACTATGAAACAGACAATCAATTACTCATACGCAAATGCAAACTGAAGCTGAATAAAATGAAAACAAGTCCACAAGAGCCAAAATATGACCTTGAAT